GCATCCATCAATGATCGGTTCGCGCCATCAATGATCGGTTCGGTAATTCGAAAATGGGACGAGTGCGACCACAACTCGAGCCGAGCCCACGCCCGCTGGGCAGCATCAACAGCTTGATCGCCCGTCTCCATACAATGCCCAAACGACATATGGGTACTGATGGTGTTGCTGTTGGACCTCCTAAATCTTCACTCGCCGTCCGGTCATCGCTGATCACAATGGTCTCCGTTCGGTTTCCATCACCAACTCTCATCAGCCGTGTAACAGGTGGCGAGGCTGGGCTTGGGCAATGATAAAAGAGTAACAAATGAAAAATATGACGACAACAGAGTCATTAGTATTGGCACCACCGCATGACGTCATGCGCAGTACGGAAACAGCACGTCAACACGCCTTACGAACGCCTGTTGGTTACACATCTGCAGCGTCCGACTCAGAAAAGACCAACATAACACGGGCAATAGTAAGCCCAGGTAAAAGACGCAGCGACGTCCGAAACGCACTGTACCCAGCACCGACGTGGCGTTAAGATCACAGTGAGAGGCGGCCCGAGCCTAACCAAGGCTCGTTCGCTCGCCTCCGTCTCCCAACGACCGAGCGCGTGTGATGAACGGAATAACTGGCATTGGTCTGCAGTACCCCATCAAGCTTAGGCAATGAATGCGAGGCATGCCGTGATATCGGAGGACTTCAATACCTACGGGCAATGCAACTGCTGCAGCTACTCCTCCTGTTATGTGAGTATCTTCATAACAATGCTGCAGTACGAAAGGAGCCCATAAACGACTTTAAGCAGTTAGCAAGGGACGGAAATGAAAAGCACGTTTCGTAGCTGACAACGTAGCTATGTATCACTGTCGATCCGATCCGAATCCTTCAGTCACTGGCTCCCACCAGCCTTTGGTTGCCATGGTGTGACAGAAAAAACCCTGCACCCTGACACAAAACACATCTTGCGATGCCATGGCCAGCTTCCTGTGGCTGACACGGTCCACGGGTTTCCTCAGTTGTCCTCAGTTACATCCCATCTCAACATCGCTCGAGCTGGCTGACACGTGTCCAGTTGCGACGAACCACGACAGCCACGCGCCGGGGGCCATCTGACTACCGCATCCCCGTACCGGCCAGACTCGTCCAGAAACGGGACGACGCCTGTCAGTACACCGGCGTCGCAGTAACACGATGTCTTCCCCCGACTTCTCACGCTCCCATCGTGCACTGCGCAGCTGGCCAGTACGCCTCGCACGTGGCCTGGAGCGGCCGAGCGGCGAGGATACGTGACGCCGACTGAGCGGGCGTGGCTCGCCGCCCGTCCGTCCGCGCCGCAGAGGTGGGCCGCGCGCCAGTGCCACGGACCACTGTCGCGCTCGCAGCTGGGCCAGGCGGAGCCGGGCCGACAGCTCGGCCGAGCCGCACCCTCCGGCGGTACTCGGCGGACAAGTGAACACTCCGTCGGAGCCACTCGGTAGACAGGTGAACACCGCGCACCTCGCCGAACCTCACGCCACTCCTGCGCCGCCTCGAGAGTCGCCCCTTTGCGCCGCTACCGGGCCTCCATCGCCGCGTGGCCGGCGCCGCTCGGCTGCAGGCCCGGGTCGCCCTGGTACACCACAGGCACGTGGTGCTGGCGGCGGTCGTGTGCACCGCGCACCATCACGCCCGGCTCCTTGGGCACCGGCTCCGGCAGCCGCTCTCGGCCCATCTGCCGGTATCGTAGCAACACCACCGCCCACCAGTACCACTCGACGGCGTACAGCAGCATCAGGTAATGGAACAGGCGCCACGAGCAGCGGCCGTGCGTGGCGCAGAAGTCGGTGAGCGGCGTGCGCTGGCCCGTCTCGGCGGCCACGGCCATGCCGAACACGGTCAGGGTGAGGCGCCAGCACCGACGCCGTAGGCA